AGTAGTATTATTATAGTAGCATTATTATAGTAGTATTATTATAGTAGCATTATTATAGTAGTATTATCATAGTAGTATTATCATAGTAGTATTATTATATTAGTATTATTATATTAGTATTATTATTTACTCTTGTAAATGAGTCAGGCTCAATGGGATTAACTTGTATAAATAAATGTTGAATGAATTTTCCAGAAAATTGACAACAAATCTGCTAAAACTAGTCTTTTCTGTTGTGGTTGTAAAAATCAAATAAATTAAATTTCACATTTGTTTTGGTCAAAGCTTAAGGGCCCCAGATGTGGCCCCAGAGGCAGATTCCAGAGCCCTGGTTTTAGCAAAGGTATTGTGTGTTTGTGCTCAGAGTATGAGCTGGACATGAGTGTCAGCTACTACCACATCAATATTTAGCTCAATGTCTGTAAGATTGACTGTTAGAGTCATTTCTGTGTTTTCTAAAGGTGCTTAGCTGTGGCAGCCATCTTGAGTCAGGTTGACCCCAAAAGGTAATCAGTTGTAGATGAACATCCACTGATGACCTGTGAGGGTTTTAGTTTTAATCTGTTCTGTGAACTGTGAGATATTTTGCTAACAGACAGAGTTTGTTTTGCAAACACCGTCAGCGTTAACTAGTTCCTGCAGAAATGTAAAGGTGCCTCCGACAGCGAGGGAACAGGGCTGACGTGTCACCATCTTGGTGTTTTTCTCACAGCACTGCAGCAAAGACGACTGGGGGTAAGGAGGAAGAGGAGGAGAGAGGAAGGTGAATGCAGCGATGTCAGGCCGTCCCACTCCTTTGAGTACAAATAGAGCAGAGAGAAGAGCAGAGAGAAGAGCAGAGAGAAGAGCAGAGAAGAGCTGAGCTGCGTACCACCAGCTGCTGACGACACACGGGATGCTCCCGGCTGGCAGCCTCTGTAAGTCCTCTCTCCTGTCCCTCCTGTCTGTCCCTGCTGGTCTTTGTCCTCTGCTCCTCGGCCCGTCGGCTCTCCTCTCTGCTGCTCTCAGACAGACGGAGTTTGTTGGACTGACACTGTTCAAACTTTTCTCTCAGTGTGCCGTGCACACGTCTTTCCCTCCTCCTCTTCTTCTGCACTTATTTACACGTTGGATGTCAGATGTGGGAGTGAATGCGCCTGATGTGTCCTCTCTGATCAACGTCTGCACCACTTGTCTCGGATCATTTTTATCTCCTGCTGGCTCGTTGAGGTCCAGGTGAACAACTGGAGGAGCCTGAGCTGTGCGTGTGAAACTGGATGTTTGCTCACGAACCTTCACATCAGACCTGGTTTGTTTGTTCTCAGGTGGGTCAGAAGGTTCGAGTGCTCCCACAGAATGAAGCAACGACTGAAGCAGGCTTCGCTCGTGGAGTCAACCAGGCGTCAGCTGAAGCATACATCACCTGTTGCCTGTGACGTCATCTCGCAGTTTTGATCAAACCATGAAAATAACACGTTGCAACAGCTCACGCTCTGAACGTGTGTGGTGAATGACCCTCAGCTACTACCACCAGATCTGAGCTCACACTGTGCCGAAGCTCAGTTCTGTGTTGGAGGAGGATGAGCTACCGCAGACGTCGACTCTACACCTTGAAGCAAAGCTCTCGCTCCATGTGCTGTGCTCTGAGTATGTGTTGGGGATGACTCTCAGCTACTACCAACCTAATCTGAGCTCAGGATCTGTAAACTGACTGAGTTTAGCTGTTTTCGTTTCGGCGGCAGCAGGTGATAACTCTGCAACAAAGTTTCTGCTCCTTTGATTAGAAACCAAACGGTTGTATTTAATGGATGGGAGCACATTAGTTCCTGAAGTTGTGACGGTGGACGTTGCTCAAACTGCACTGGCTCTCACTGAGCAACACAAACGCTGCACATTTTTCAAAAAGTGCCTGCAAGGCGGAGACTGCTTTTATTTACACCCAGGGCCGTTTTCTGGTATTTTTTAGCTCAGCAGCTTCCCTGTTGGCTCACGACTCGGAGCATGAAGGTCATGTGGGTTTGATAAGGTGAAGAAAAACAAGCGTGTCTGTAAAAAATTGACCAGGCTATTGAAACGTCTGTTACTCATAGATAGTGTGGAGTCATTAGCTCCCCGCCCTGTGAGCGACATGCTGAACTGTTCCAGGGTTTAAAAAGGCCTTCTTGACGCAGACAGCACCAGAACATTTGGGCCCACTGATGAATGGAGAGGGTCAAAACAAAACACTCGATCTAATCTCACTGTCTTTCTAAAAACCACAGCCGGAGCCTCCACGCCACGCTACACAGGGTGACCTCCTCCAGCAGCCAGGAGTGGGCCTGATCCAAGAGGGAACCCGACCCCGAGCTGAGCAGGAAGACAAGCGATCATGCCTCACAGCTGAGACGACCTCGTTGGACCGAGCTGGACACAAACGCCCCCGAGGCAAGATGCTGGCTCAAATCCTGGAGGACATGTGGGTGGAACCAGAGGTGCTGGAAGCCCTCAGTGAGGAGCAGAAGAGGATCCTCTTCCTGAAGATGAGGGAGGAACAGGTACGCCGCTGGAGAGAGCGGGAGGAGAAGGAGGGGAGAGAAGGACAAGACAACGCCAGACCCGAGAAAGGTACAGTACGACGCCGATGTCACCTTTCAGGTTTAACTGGCAAGAGGAACTGGTCCGAGTCCAAGAACCCAAGTGAACGGTGTAAATGGTGGGAATGAAAACTGGAGTTCAGCTCAACCCAGTTCATTTGTAGAGCACTAAATGACAAGAGAAGTCGTGTCAGGGCAACCCTCACACGCACAAAACGTCCGTTAATAACATTATTTATTAGATTCAACATCGCTGAACAGGGTTTTCTGCCAAACATGAGTTTGACTTGGAAAGTGACTCAAGACGTTTGTTACAGGAAAACACTAAAAGACAAATCTTTTAAATTCATCATATTTAGTTGATTAGTGATTCTAAGTGTTTCGAACCACAGAGGACGTATACCTGAAAGGCTCTTTGAGCACGATGACTGATGTCAACACCAACCGTGTAGCTCCAGCACTGAATGGTTCATGAACCGACGCGCTGACGTAGTTTTCTGGTCACAGGCGTTCAGGGCTTACAAGAACGGGCAGTAATAACTTAAATAATAACTTAAATGATAACTTAAATAATAACTTAAATGATAACTTAAATGATAACTTAAATAATAACTTAAATGATAACTTAAATAATAACTTAAATAATAACTTAAATAATAACTTAAATAATAACTTAAATAATAACTTAAATAATAACTTAAATGATAACTTAAATAATAACTTAAATGATAACTTAAATAATAACTTAAATGATAACTTAAATAATAACTTAAATAATAACTTAAATAATAACTTAAATAATAACTTAAATGATAACTTAAATAATAACTTAAATAATAACTTAAATAATAACTTAAATAATAACAAATGATAACTTAAATAATAACTTAAATAATAACTTAAATGATAACTTAAATAATAACTTAAATAATAACTTAAATAATAACTTAAATGATAACTTAAATGATAACTTAAATAATAACTTAAATGATAACTGAAACGCATGAACCTGTCAAAAAGTGAGCGCAGCATGAAACGAGTCTCAGTTACTGCATTAACCGACAGTTTGTCCATAACCAACAGCCTCTGGTCAGTTCTTTAAGTTATGCTTTAAAAGAAATACAACGTTAAAAGTTAAATCTCAGAAGTAGCCTAGCCATGTGAACCGTAACGACTATGACCAGTTTAACATCGTTTCACATTCATGATTTTACATTTAGTAAAATTACTTTCTTGTCAGTTGCATTTGACAACAAATATCCTCTATTTTCTCATTTTCATAGTGTTCTGTTTCCTAATTGTAAAGTTTTTTCTACTTAGACAGAAAACGGACAGAATGATAGACTGCTACTAATTAAAGGGAATTACAGTCACATGTGATTAAATTAATTTTAAAAGCTTATGTCAATGACAAGGTGAAGAAACAGGGAAACGACAAGCTTAATTTTACTCTCTAAAGAAAATATGTGGATTAGATTTAATGAAGTTATTTAAAATATTCTTTTAAAATCCAAAGTTTATTTCTTTTTTGATTCTATGCGACAAATGTAACCGTTTCTCTTTGCGTCTTTATGCTAACCTAAGCTAGCATGCTACTACTCTAGCTGCTTGGTTCTGTATTTAAACAAGAATAGTTTTACATTTATTGTGTTTAAAACACTTTACTGAGATGTATTGTTTATTTTTCTATGGAATTCTCATGACAAAAGTAGTATTTTTATTTTTCTCGTCTTTATACTAAGCTATATCAACATGCTGCTAACTTGCTTTGATTTGTTAGCTAAACAGAATTAGTTATGTGTCTATGGTTTAAATAATCTGCTGTAACATTTATGCACATTTCATTGGTTTGGTAGGGCAGCCATTTTGTAGCGGTGACATGTTACGCTAGTCCTTGAAACTTGTCACTGGTTCTGGAAAAGTTACTCAAGTTGTACCTGCACAAATAGACCACAATGCATTGCGGCTCCAGGCTAGTGCTAATGCCTGCAGCTCATTCTTGGGATTTTTTGGACCTGTTGAAAATGGCTTTAATTATCTAGAAGTCCCTAACGTGTCTCGTCTCCTCTGACTGAGCTGCAGGCCATACAGAATATTAAAAACGTGGACTGAAACTATGTCAGCAATAAATATGAACTGCATAAAGATTTGTTGTAAAGTGTTGCATACTACAAACCAGTTTATTCATTCATTCAACCTTTATTTAGACAGTTAACAGGTTTAAAGTGGCTCTTACAAATGAGGAACAGTGTGTTTCTTGTCAGTAAGAAACTTTTTTGTTTTAAACACGGACAATTTTTATTTTAAAGGATGACTGGCAGCTACGGTTCAAACACGTCTTTATGCTAAGCTAAGTTAGCACGCTGCTGTACTAACTTTATTTGGCAGCTGAACATGAGTAGTTATCCTTTGAGCTGCTTTTAAAAACAAATCAAATCAATATTTTAAATGTAGTCATTGTTTTGAGCTAAGCTAGTTGTTTATTACGTAACACTGTGTTTATTCCATGTTAGGTTCTTGGTGCCTGCTAATCTCGAGCCTGAGCTAAACGCACGCTCTGTAACTGGATACATAGTTGTTCTACAGTTAATTAGTGTTGAAATCTTCTGAACCCATGTGAACACGAGTAATGAAACATGCATCAGTTGTGTGGATCCTCTCTCTCAGGTTACCAATCTGATTAAGTGAGGTTTGTTGTTCTGTCTTTAGCCCGTGTAAGCCCAAGTCTGCCTCTATGTCCTACTCATTGTGTTCGGCCCTCTTTCATTAAAAGTGTTGGTTTGACTCACGTAGACCCCGTCATTGTAACCAGTTCAGCTGTGCAGGAGAAGAGTGTGTAGCAGAAGGCTGTAACCTGAATAAGACTGCGTAGACCCAGTGGACTGAGCGAGACGCCGCCACGCTTTAAACCGTGCATTGAGTTACCGTCTTTGTTTACCCAATCTCTGCCATGTCACATGAGAGGAGGCCGTGCGTGAACGGTCTACGGTTGGCTGTACACAACACATTCCAGTCAGGGGTCTCTTGTGTGCACTGGGCTGTCTTTGGCAGGGAGAACACGTTTGTGCGTGCACGGAGCCAAGAAGTGTCTCATGGCAGCACATATAAACATGTCAGAAGAAGTTTCTAATGCGTGCTGCACGTCGGCTTTATTTGAGTGCACGGCAGTCATTCAAGCTGTTAGTGTCTTCTTCTGTCCCACGCCAGCGAGGTAACTAAAGCATGGAGGTGTGCCGTCAGACAGACTGTGGTTCAAGGTGTCTTTGGTGACATCACAATGCACACAGGACGTTAATGATGTCAGCACACAAACACCACGTGATACGAACAGAAACGGACACTTCTGCGTGTCTGCTGCGTCTCATCGACTGGGGCTGAGCTCTTCATGCTCATTCACTTCACTGGTATTTTAGATTGCGCCACCTGAACTGGGTTACAACTGGCAGGAAGGTGTTTAAATGTCCAAGCAGCTCATCTGTGACATCATGGCCGGTGTTGAATTGTTCTCAGGTCGTGCAGTGTCATGGAAACACCTGAGTCTTCCCTCCGTGGGGGTGTTTTCCACCACAGCTTTCCAGGGTGTGACAAGGACATTGCATCGTTCATCAGCTCACTTTGTTCTGATGAAGAAGCAAGAACGGACATGATCTATCTTCTGTTTGCCAAATGAAGCTGTAGAGCATAAAATAATTAGAACATTAATAAAATGAAATGATTTCTTGGTGAAGCTAAATGTTCTGGGGATTTGTCTTCTTTGTTACTATTAACATTTCTTTTCAACTTTATTTTTTTATTGTTGTTGTTTTTGATGTAGATTTTGGGGAAAGCAGTGAGACCTGCAGAGAGGCAGTAAAAATATTGTAAGACAAAAGGAGATTGTTTAAACTTATAGGAGGCTGCCACCTACTGGTTGATAACCAGAATGACACCAGTGTGAGGATACTGTTGTGGAAAACAAAGCAATAAAAAATCAACACATGGATTAATTTGCTTTTTTGTTTGTTTAGTTTCCACTAAGCGTGTGACGTGGCTTACTGGTCGGGATGGCGACGTGAGTGTGAGCATCATTGGAGAGGTGGATGAGTTCAAGTCCTCCAAACTCCTCCAGAACTTCAACAACAGGTAGAAATGCTAAACTCTGGATTATTTATGAGACGTCACATGATGTTAACATATACAGTCATAGAAAAAGCATGTTCGCCTTCAACTGGATTGTTCCAGGACATCATTAAAATCATCTGTTTTTGTTTCACCACGTTCTAAAATGACTCAAATCTGACCTGAGTGATCAAAAACACGCTATATATTCTACCGTGCCATCATTTATTCAAATTAAATACATCCAAAATGCTGCACGTGCAAAAACCAAGACAGTCATCTGTTTTACACAAATGAAGCCATTTTAAAGATTAAATAAAATAAAAACCAACACAACAGCTGATTTGGATCATTTTGGAACCTGGTAAAGAACAGTTTACTTTCATTATGTCCTGACACATTAACCTAGAACTGAAACAGGGTGGCCTTTGTCCCAAGACTGTTTGTGCATCGTCTGTTTCGGCAGAAACAGGAGATCATAAAAACACGTTGTGACGGTAACTTTAAAGACGTCTTTGTCCACAGTCTGAAACTAAGAGATAAAACAACGCCCGCCGTCACACTGTGGACTGCAGGTCGATTCAAAGGTTGGGTGACTCTGTGCAACTGAACACGGATGTCTTTGTCTTGCAGAGTCCACCCTGATAGTATGAATGGCATCCAGACGGTGGACCTGCTGCCAGGAAGAGAGCCCCGGCAGCTCAGCTTCAAAGACGACATCAAGCTGCCCGTCACAGATGTTAATGTGAGTCCCAGAGCTTGTTTTGCAGAAGATGACCGGCGTGTTGGAGTCAGATCTTCAAATCCTGCTTTTGACCTGCAGGAAGACTCGGCTTCACCGAACGAGCAGTCGTCTGAGGAGGACATGGACTCCTGCAGCACCGACGACAACCAGAAGGACCCCGGTGAGGACAGCGACAGCGAGTCGAGCAGCGGCTCGGACAGCATTAGCGACCGCAACCTCGTCTACAGGCCCCATTTTTGTAGCCATGGCAACCAGCCGCTCAAAGCCCAGCTGTCAGGCACAGAGAGGGCTAGCCTTCAGGACAGAGGTGAGAAAACGAGAGTAGACGGAGGCGGCAGAGGGGATGGTGTGTACCTGTCTGTGCTCAACAGCACCAGCCTGAGATAATCAAACGCTCCCTGGTCGTAGTCCCGCTGACCTAACTTAACTCATGGTTCCCTAAAAACCTGAGCTTGTGTTGTGTAATGAGAACAAGAAGAATTCTTGTAACTCGTTTTGTTCTTCCCTCTCTATTTTTAGAAGCCGTTTGTCACAGAGAGACGTCAGAAAGCCGAGGCCGTGTGGCGCAGCTCAAGAAGGCGTTCGCAGAAGAGCCTCACAAGAGATCACCTCCCTCCAACAAACCGCCCGTACCTGCCAAACCTGCTCATCTGCAGAAAAGAAGCCAACACTGATTCATTCAAAGTCCTCCCGCTGCAAGACAGCGATGCAGTTAGAGGAGCTCTCTTCTCCAGCGGACTGCAAAATACTTTGCACTGAAGTCAGACTTAATGATAAAATTAACCTCTTAGAGCTAAAATACAGACTCTGCTGATGTTTACCTGGTGCCTGTGACTCAGGTACCCTGGTGGACGTTTGACCAGCGTGAAACAGCACACGGGTAGCTCGAGCAGTTACTGGGACTGATAAATCACACACAAGCTCTTCTGTGCTGATCTAGAGCGTTTTAAAATTTCACTTGTTTGCACTGTTTTACCTGATGGTATTCACCTGTTTCTTTATTAAGGGATGCAGGAGATGGGGATGAAATAAAACGTGAACTATTAAAAGGCATTCATTAAGAAGCATCCAGCTGCTCATTGACTGCTCACAAACTCTCCAGTGTTCATGGGAAGGACGTCCTGAGCAGTTTTTGAACAGCAACAGTTTTATTGTCATTTTTTTCTAGATATTTACTGTAGAAACCATCACCACGTGATTCATCAGTGAGCTGAGCGTTATTTGTTACAGTCCTTACAGCCAAAGGACATAAAGGCTCCTAGCTCACTTTTATTATCAGGTTTGTGGAATTGGAGTAAATTGGCCTGCTAATTAAAGAATATGTAAATATGTCGATCTGTAGATATTTATATCCTCTCACAGAATAAACTGTAACTTATTGACTCAAAACACTTCAAATCAAATCAAATCACAAAACAAGTTGATTAAAGTGCTGTTCAAGAAGCCAATGTAGCATTAGCAGCTAACACACTATCTACTTTTTAACTCTTCCCTGTTGAGCTTTAAATATTTATATCTTCTTACAGAATAAATTGTACCTCTGGAAACATAAAGTACATCAAATCAAATCACATATACAAAACTAGTTGACACAAAAGCTCTTCACAAAAAGCCAAATTAGCATTAGCAGCTAACAGTTAACATTACTACTGGTCTATTATTGTGAAAAACTAGCGCTTTCTGGTCACATTTATTGTGCCAAGTGATAAATGTTAACAAGCTAAGAAGGTGATTGTTGTAAAGAAAATGTTTGTCTCTGTCAGTGTTAGCATGTTAGCTCTGACAAACACAGAAACTGGCTAAAAACCACACATGGTGCTATAGGAGATGCTACTGCTACTTCCCTCACTTTTGAATCTAAATAAAACACTTAAAACACATAAAATGCACGGATGGTGTCAGGACAATGCTAAGAAGCTAAACTGGTGACAGATGAGACTTGTTCCTCATCCTAAAAACCAGCCAGTCTTCAGTAAATAATAATGAACACATGGGGACAGAACTTGTCTTAAAACCTCCCGATGTTTAACACCACATCTGTGTAATGATAAATGAGTTTCTCGTGAGTTCTGGCTCTCTAACTTGTTTAATTATTTTATAATTCTGGGTCAGTGGTGTAACCATGACATCGTTGAACTTATCCACGTGTCCTTTATCCCTGGATCAATCTTTAGAGAATCCTCTGCAACACGTCAGATTTGAAAAGCGGTGGGAAAAACCCCATTATCACGCTGTGCAAACATGACAGCTGTGTTTGAGCTGTAGTTACTACCTAACTTATGGTCACATGTCCACTTTACTTGGTCACTAATTCATTCCTGAAACTCTGCGCACGCTGCAGACTTTTGTCTTTTACCCTGATTGTATTTGCATTTGTATATTTTATTATTTTATTTATGTCTTCAATGTGAGAAAGAACAAACGATTGCAATTAAAATGGGTTGTTTTTTTATTTTAAACATGGTGAACTCATGAAGTGTTAACATTTTGAATGGAGTCGACACAATGGTAGCTGGTCAGCTCCACAATGGTTGTCCTTTCAGTGCGTTGGGGTAAAAAAGTCCATCAGGGATCAAACGAGCAGCGCAGAGAGCCGATTAGCATGTGGTTTGGACTGAGACGGAGGGCAAGACAGAACAAATGAGAGTCTAGTCACGGGAAGCAAAACGTCACGCTCAACTCAATAAACCGCATTCCCTCACCTCCTCCACACGGTCAGGCCTCTGTGTGTGTGTGTGTGTGTGTGTGTGTGTGTGTGTCCACCCATATATCTTGAATCATGTGACTGAACACAAGCAGTCATGCACAGAGTGTGAAAGCCCTGCTATATATAGCAGAACAGTATTGGGTTTCCCTATGAAGCATTGTAAGAGCCCTTCATCTTTTTCTATGACTTTGTGTAAACAATCTGTTAACTGTAGGCGATAAGAGCCTGATCACTTTCTGATGGGCCTGAGAGGTGAAACTAGGACACAAGCCTGCGCTGACACATTAAAAACTTTACCATTAACCTGAAATAAATGACCTGTCGGAAATATCCATCCATCCATTTTCTTCCGCTTATCCAGGGTCGGGTCGCGGGGGTAGCAGCTTGAGTAGGGAGGCCCAGACTTCCCTCTCCCCAGCCACTTGGTCCAGCTCCTCCGGGGGATTCCCGAGGCGTTCCCAGGCCAGCCGAGAAACATGGTCCCTCCAGCGTGTCCTGGGTCTTCCTCTGGGTCTCCTCCCAGTGGGACGTGCCCGGAGCACCTCACCAGGGAGGCATCCTAACCAGATGCCTGAGCCACCTCAACTGGCGCCTCTCGACGTGGAGAAGTAGCGGCTCTACTCTGAGACCCTCCCGGATGATCGAGCTTCTCACCCTATCTCTAAGGGAGAGCCCAGACACCCTGCAGAGAAAACTCATTTCGACCCCACCAGTATCCGAGATCTCATGCTTTCGATCACAACCCAAAGCTCATGACCATAGATGAGGGTAGGAACGTAGATCCACCAGTAAATTGAGAGCTTCGCCTTTTGACTCAGCTCTCTCTTCACCCCAACAGACCGGTGCAGCACCCGCTTCACTGCCGACGCTGCACCTATCCGCCTATCTATCTCACGTTCCATTTTTCCCTCATTCGTGAACAAGACCCCGAGATACTTGAACTCCTCCACTTGGTGCAGGACCTCCTCCCTGACCCGGAGAAGGCACTCTACCCCTCGGATTTGGAGGAACTGATCCTCATCCCGGCCATGTCACACTCGGCTGTGAAATGCTCCAGCGAAAGCTGTAGATCACGACTTGATAAAGCCTATAGGACCACATCATCTGCAAAAAACAGAGAAGCGATCCTAAGGCCACCAAAACTGATCCCCTCAACACCTTGACTATGCCTAGAAATTCTGTCCATAAAAGTTATGAACAGAATTGGTGACAAAGGGCAACCTTGGCGGAGTCCAACTCTCACTGGGAACAATCTTGACTTACTGCCGGCAATGCGGACCAGGCTCCGACACCGGTCATACAGGGACCTAACAGCCCGTATCAAAGGCCATGGTACCCCATACTCCCAGAGTACCCTCCCACCAGGGTTCCCCGAGGGACGCGGTCGAACGCCTTCTCCAAGTCGACAAAGCACATGCAGACTGGTTGGGCAAACTCCCACACACCCTCCAGGACCCTGCTGAAGGTGTAGAGCTGGTCTAGTGTTCCATGACCAGGATGAAAACTGCACTGTTCCTCCTGAATCCGAGGTTCAACTATAAGATGGACCCTCCTCTCCAGAACCCCCGAATAGACCTTACCAGGGAGGCTTAAGAGCGTGATCCACCTGTAGTTAGAACACACTCTACGGTCCCCCTTTTTGAATATGGGGACCAACACCCCGGTCTGCCAATCCAGGGGAACATCCCCTGATGTCCACACAATATTGCAGAGTCATGTATGCCAACACAACCCTACAACATTCAGAGCCTTAAGGAACTCCGGGCGAATCTCATCCACTGCTAGGGCTCTGCCACCGAGGAGCTTTTAAACCACCTCGGTAACCTCAGCACCGGAGATTGGAGGGCCCGACCCAGAGTCCCCAGGCTCTGCTTCCTCAGTGGAAGACGTACTGATGGGATTGAGGAGGTCTTCGAAGTATTCTGCCCACTGACCCACGACATCCCGAGTTGAGGTCAGTAGCACACCACCGCCACTATAAATAGTGTTGGTGGTGTACCGCTCCCCCCCCCCCCCCCCCCCCCCCCC